TCCTTCTCGAAGTCTGAACAGTCGGTCTGGTCGCCCTCCTAAAGTCTGAGCGCGAAGTGTGGCAGTATGATATCCCATTGTTTCGCGACAGTGCGACACGGACAATCCATCCAGTCACCGGCTCGCGCGTATGATATGAGGCTCGTCGCGTGTGCGTAGGCTTGCTCTTGTTCGTTGCGCGATCGTTCGAAGGCTATGCGTGTACCACGAGTGGCCATCCCGGCGTTTAGACCTGGACAAAAGCATCTGCATCATCTTCCTCTCCTCAGTCCACCTCAGCGACGCCACTAATAGGCTCCGGTCGCGACGAAAACACAATCTTGTACTTCACCACCTCCACAATCTCCAACTCCTCATCTTTCGCACCATCCTCGTCCCCCAGACCACTCATCTCCACATCCTCGACATCCATCTTTTCCCTCTTGCGCATGACACCAAGCGGTTTGGGCAGCTTCTTGCACTCGCCCGTCATGCGCTGGCCCTTGCCCACGTACATGTAGACGCGCTTCATCCATTTCGTATCGCTCGGGTCGTTAATAGCGGGATTGTAGTGTGGGAAGACGAGTTTGCCGACTTGTGTGGAGGCCACGGAGGCTGCAGGCGGGGGGAAGTGGATTGTGCCCTGGATTTCGATGAGGGCAAGGCCCGAGGGTGTGTGGAGGAGCTGTGGAAGGGGGTTCTCGGCGCGTGGGGATGTTGCGGAAGCGGAAGGGAGATGGATCGGTACCGACGGCATTGTGGAGACGTATTCGGGCTTCAGGTGGGAGTTAAAGGAGCACCGTGGAGCAGGTGAGGGTTGTGTATTTGTGGTGTTGGGGCAGGATAATCCCCGCCGGCGAAAACTACGCGACGCGCTGAGATGTGGTGGGGCGAGCGCGCGCGATGGGCAGGAATGACGACACCAAGTGCGCAATAGTTTCGTCAAAATTCATCATTATTCATAGATATCTATTATGTACTAGAAGGCAACCACACTGCTCTTGCAGCTATCTAAGCCCTCTTGCCGAAGACCTTGTCGAAGCCAGTCAGGGTAAGCCTGTACTTGACGTTGTCGTTCTTGTACACGCGCTCAACAGCCTCCTTGATGCCCTCTTCGCTGAGCTGGATCTCCTGTACCCAACTCTTGATGTTCTGCTTGGATGCAAGCTGGAACATCTCCTCCATCTCGGGCCTGTTTCCGATGTGGGACGCACCCATGTAGCAGCCGTTGGGTGCGAAGATCTGGGCGGGCATGGCAGGGAGCGGGTTGTCAGGGAAGCCGACCATGTGGAAGGTACCGTTGACCTTGAGGATGGAGAAGTATTCGGAGAGATCGAACTTGTCAGTCGCATCAGCGGTGTTGATGACGAAGTCGAACTGGAACTTCCATGGCTCAGCCCAGCCCTTGTCCTTGGTGACGATGAAGTCCTTAGCACCCATCTTCATCGCATCCTCCTTCTTGTTGGGAGAGTGCGAGATGACGTAGGTGTCGGCGCCCATAGCTACGGACCAAAGGACACCGAAGTGACCAAGTCCTCCAAGTCCGATGATACCGACCTTCTTGCCGGGGCCAGCTCCTAACCTCTTCAAAGGCGAGTATGTGGTGAGACCAGCGCACAGCATGGGCGCTGCGAGGGCAGTGTCGAGGTTGTCTGGGATCTTGAAGACGAAGTACTCGTGGCCACGGATATGGCTGGAGTATCCACCCTGTGCGACGGTGCCGTCGTTGTGCTTAGCACCGTATGTGTCGACTTGGTTGGGGCAGTAGTTCTCCTGGTCGTTCTTGCATTGGTCGCAAGTAAGGTCGGCGCCAATCTGAGCACCAATACCGGCGCGGTCTCCAACCTTGACCCTGGTGACCTTGTCGCCGACCTTGACGACCTTGCCGATAACCTCGTGTCCTACGCAGAGGGGTAGAGGGAGCTCCTCGCCCCATCCTCCAGTGATGGTGTGGACATCTGAAGCGCAGACACCGCAAGCGTCAATCGCAATGTCGACGTCGTACTCCTCAAACTTCTTGAGGGGAAGCTGGGAAAATGTTAGTACAGCTATCATTTGAAAGATTGGCTCATTGACTGACCTCCTGTCGCTTGAATGTGCTCCAGTTCTTGATGTCGGTCACCGCGAAGGCGTCGGTAGTCTCTGGGTAAGGCATTGTTGCGTTTGAGTTGGAATTGGAGTATGGGGAATGTTGTTGGGGAGGTGAGAGAGATGATGGAGGGGCAGGTGTTGAGGGGCATGCACACGTATTTCAAGCATCGGTCAATCCCCCGCCAGCTGTTAGAGTCGGCCCACGGTCACAATGGCGTCTCGTCCAGTGAGGTCATAACAGTGGACGAGAACGAGAGGGTACCCGCCGTTGAGGCTCCTGCTGCTCCCTGATTGGGCAGGCCTACAGCCACGAGCGCGTTGTCGCTATGGCGCGCATTGTACCTTTTTCTTGACCGTCACTGACGCGTCAATGATCGCGACTTTATCCGTCACATCGGAGTTCTGCCAACGGTCTCGAGGGCTAGATCGCAAACCATGCCCTGTCGCGCTGGCTAATCCACGCTATACGCGTCTGGTCGTTCCGACCGTACCGAGTTACACGGGGTTCGTCAATGCGCTTGTATAACTCCTGTCGTCTTCGTTACAAGTCCAGATATTGTTTGTAAGAATGTCGCATTCGAGTGCCGGCGAATTCAGCGAAGGCGATGACAGATTTTCCGAGCTCGATCCAAACGGGGAAAGTACGACGACGTAGCTGTTCCGAGTGCCGAGCGTCATGCTTTAGTTGCCGACGTCATAACCCGGGCCTCGCCCCCCTATGCCCTTCATCTCTCATCGGTAGGTATAATTGGAATTTGTTTTTCTTTTGTTGGTTCATGTAGCGTCGACCAATGATTGCGCATCCAGGAGGACAGGCTGCGAATCCAGGATTCTGTACGTGGGTGCACCAAGCTAGTCCTCAGTGTGGCACGCGGCTCTTATACCCCTAGGTACTCCCACAACGGCATGTACATGAGCCGAGCTGATATGGATGAGCTCGTCCAGAACTTGGTTCCTCCACTGCAAATCGGTTCGCGTTATCAAGCTTCCGGCCATTTGCCATGCCACCTGGTACCCCGCATCGTGAATGCGGGGTGATGAACCGGAGGCTTACCCTTTTGGGCATTCCGTGATCTTGGGCAGCAGGTGCACACATGCGCTTGCCAGTAGGAACAGACCGAAGCCAACGGACTGACCGAGTCCGGGGAATGAGCGCGACGTCTGTTTGTCGGCCATGGAAGGAGCCAAACTACCTGCGCCACCTTGACCAAGTACTTCTGTCCTTCTCTTGTCCTCCGCCATCTTTCAAGTCACTCTCATATACGCTTCTAATAGTGTGAACCCAATTCGATCATAATGGCCGCCGCGGCAGATGACAACTCGATGAACGCGCTGCGGTTCCATGGGCAACATGACCTGCGATACGAGAGGATTCCGATACCCCAAGTCAAAGCAGGGCAAGTCAAAGTGAAACCGGCATGGGTGGGAATTTGCGGATCAGGTAAGGACCCAATTACAGAAAGTGAGACAGCGAAACTGACGTTGCTTTATACCTCCACGAATATTTGGGTATGTACTCGAATGACGAACATGCGCTCCATAGCTGAGCACCTAGGTGGCGCGAATCTCTGCCCTACCACGCCCCACCCAATCACCGGCGAAACGGTTCCACTAACCTTCGGCCATGAATTCAGTGGCACAGTAGAGGAAGTTGGCGAGGGTGTTACTGACTACAAAGCCGGCGACAGAGTTGTCATTCAGCCCATCATCTACGACGACACCTGCGGCGCCTGCGAGGAAGGTCTGCAAAATTGCTGCTGGTCCAACGGCTTCATCGGCCTGTCTGGTTGGGGCGGTGGTCTTGCAGATCACATCGTCGTTCCGACCTCTACTCTGTATCATCTCCCTGACAATGTTCCACTCGAGATTGGTGCGCTCGTTGAGCCCCTCGCTGTCGGCTGGCACGCAGTCAAGATCAGTCCTTTTAAGAAAGACAACGTCGCATTGGTGCTGGGGGGTGGGCCCATCGGTATATCAACAATCCTAGCTCTGAAGGCGAAAGGCTGCGATCGGATCATCGTCTCAGAAGTGAGCAGAAAGAGACAGGAGTTTGCGAGAAAGTTCGGAGCGCACTACATCATCGACCCCACCAAGGAAGACCTTGCCAAGCGCTGTCGCGAACTCACCGGAGGTAAGGGTGTACATGTAGTCTACGACTGTGCCGGCGTCCAGGCTGCTCTCAATCAGGCCGTACATGCCACCCGCGCTCGAGGCTGCATCGTCAACATTGCCATATGGGAGAAGCCTTGCACCATTTTCACCAACGACTTCAACTTCAAGGAGAGAACCTACATGGGCATTGCAACTTATGAGATTGGCGACTTTCAGGAAGTGATTGATGCACTGAGCAGGGGAGACATGGATCCGAAAGAGATGATCACCCAGAGGATTGCTCTTACCGAAGTTGAAGAGAAGGGCTTTAAGAGCCTCATCAACGACAAGGACAACCAGGTCAAGATTCTGGTGGAGGTTGGTGGAGGCGCATAGATGAATGGCTCGGAAGCTGGCAGATAATTTCCCACGCGACCAAAGTCCCATGAGGAGAGATCTGCAGTCTCTTGATGAGATACAAAATCTCTGATCATTCCATACGGACTTATCACTGCTTGGTTTCTTACTGTCTGAGAGTTACCTCGCCGGTGAGCGGGTGGTGGGCCTAATTTGCCCAAGGTAGCATTATAATCACATTTTCTCAACTCTTCATCATCACTGGGGATTCGAACAAGGCCGAAATAGCGTCTATAGTATGATTTGAATGAGTCCGACACACTCTCGTTATGTGTTGAACTAACAAGAAGCAGCGTTGTTAAATCTAAGAAGCAAAGGGTCTAGCGGTAAAGACTGTGATTTGATATCCACCACTGCCGTTGCCGGCTACCATCTACCGATGTCACCCGCCATGTTCAACCCTATCGACTCCTCATGATCGTCTAGCAGGTGATCTTGTACGAGTTCTTAGGGCCATACGCCTCACAAACACCGACTTCGCCGAACACCTCTGGGGCTTCATCTGTGCAGTCGAAAGATGTGTGCAGATTGACTATCGGCAAAGATTAGCGAAGTCGTATTCCTGGTATAGGAACTTACTCTTGCAGTTGGGGTTAGCAGCTTCGGTAATGATGAGACTCTTGTTGCCGTCGTAGATGCTGATGCACCTGTTGGCGGGGAGGTTGGTTGAGCCCTCAATCAGACATCCGGATGCGGTGCTGCAGGCGGCGCACGTCGAGATCGTGAATGAGAGGGTACCCTGTGCGGCGCTGGATGCGACGAATACAGAAGCGAGGGCAAGGAAGGTAGTTGAGAGCTGCATGTTGAAGATAGTGGGAAGTTTTGGCGTCGAGGAGAGGGATAATTTGTGGATTTAGGAGAAGAATTGGTTGGAGAGAAGATGATTCTCGAGCTCACAGTGAGGCATTCTTATACAAAGCATGAGGTTGTGGATTACATGATCGGGTTATTTTGCCAACCGATAACATCTTACTGATATTATTGCCCTGTGAGAATGCTGATGCTCGCTATGGACCCGTCTCATGACCAAGAACGCGTACGCAGGCACGCTCTGTTAGGCCGTGTTACGGCGGTGACAGCACGAAGAGAGGCTTTGTTGGGCTTTAGTACGATTAAGGACTGACCACGAGGTACACACGGCTAGCTGTTGGTAAGCGGGCGTATTTACAGTAAGCATACACGAGTTCCGGCTTGCCACTTCAGTCTTACATCTCTCTCTTAGCAAGTGTCGGCTCGAGGCGACTAGGCCTGCCCGTGTGTTGGTCTCACCACTCTTTTGTTAGCAAGTGGAAGTCTTTTGTGCACGTGAGGTGGCTAGATCATGGCTGTCATTTCTCGCTACGATCAGAGCATCAATCTGTTTACCCTCGTGGCAGCCTTCCATGATCACGTCGCAAAAGATTCAGAAGTTAATTGCGTGAGAAATGGTCCGAAAATATGAGTAGAGATGTTCTCGTCGAACTCCATGCGCGCAAAGAATTTGGAGACGCCCTGTATTGTAGATATATAAACACCCCTCCTGTCATGTGTTGAACGAACAGCGAGCGGCGGTAAGAGAAGAGGAGGGAAGAAACATCGCAAGATGCTGACACAAAAGTATGTACTGTAGATACTTTACAGATATCAATACTCTAGATGCACCAGGCGGCTTAACATGTGATCTTGAAGCTGTTCGATGGAATCTTGCTTTCGCAAATCCCGCCGTTGTCCTTGTGCACCTCCGGCGTTCCTCCGCAGTTGAACTCGGGGTAGAGATTGACTGCACAATACGTTAGCTCGAAGATGGGTGGACGGGGAAGTATATGGCTTCAGTACCTTGGCAAGACGGGTTTGTTGCGTCGTAAGTCTTAATGGTGGTACTTCCATTCCACATGGTGATGCAAAGGTCCGGTGGAAGGTTGGAGCGGGTGTTGACAGAACAGAACGTGCCCGGCACCGGGGTGCACTCAGTGCAGTTCCATGTTGTGAAGGTAACGCTGTCGTACGCGGCAGCTGTGGCAGCCAGAGCGATGCCTGAGAGAAGAGCAGAGGTGGAGAAATGCATGTTTGAAGGGGTTGTTGGGGTACTTTCTCTATCTGGGCTGTAGGGTGAATGGTGTTGTGCGAGCCTATCTCCAGCGGATTGCTGCTCTTATGCTTCATAGTAGGATACAAGGCATCCCGTCATGAGTTGGCCAAGCAGCCACGAGTATGCTACAGCGGTTCGATGCCCAGAATAATCCCGCGCCGTCCATTGCCCGAATGCAACGATAGCAACAAAGACCCTGCATGTCAGGGCTGTTGACACCAACTGACAATAGTCCATGCTTTGAGAGGGCAGGTAGTCTTGATCTTGGCTTGGGCGCGGCGTATACGTGACTATCGTGGGAAAGACATCCTTGGAACAAACGAGTATGACTAACGATTGACATTGCTGATGCCAACTGTGATCTACGCGGATTTCCCTACGACCGAAAGATGACACGAGGTATCGTGGAACGCGTTGGCGGTGTTGGTGGCGATGAATACTGGAGGTGAGATTTTGGTGGCTGGTCTCTACCCATTAATACTGAGTGTTATTGGCCGTCGCAAGTCTTTCCACATTTTCCAATTGACTATGATATCTGCCGTGCACTGTCGCTACACATTGTAAAAGCCTGTCTGGTAGTTTAGCAATATTATGTAGATCGCGAACAGTTCTCGAGCTTCGCAGAAAGCGCACATCGGGGTAGAACATGGCTTAGTATGCAGAAGTATGTATGCATCGCTATTTGCGGATCCTGGCCGCACGCAAGAGCTGATGGTAAATCTATGCGGTAGACTGAGCCGCGGCTTGGGGTCGAAAGAGACGGCATAGTCGGCCTATGGTTGAGTTTATGGTTCAAATTCGATTCATCCTCTTCCGGCTTGGGCGAGATGGCGTGTGCGCAGTCCCTGATAGAAATGCGATTGCCTGGTAGAGAGCGATTGTCCGAGACGGGAGCGTCATGAGATAGTCGTGGCTGCGACGACACTAGATGTCAGACGCCATAGCGCGAGCGCACTAGCTATCATGATGACGGTCGGGAGATGTCGAGGAGACGGAGGCTGGGAGACGCGCCGACAGGGGCGCTAAGACGCTAGACTGTATGCGTCATCATGACCCCCACAGGCCTTCTCGAAATCTCATAGCCCAGCTCAGCACTTACGGGCTTCAGACATTGTTGGATTCATGCCGACCGCCACGATATGTTGGCTGACTCTTTGATTAAGACCCTGCAATCTCTCAGAGTAAGCCTCAATAGCACATGCGTGGTAACTTCAGGTGGCCTCTGCCGGGTTAGCCGTTCAAGCCGGTCATTCCGCAGTTTTCGGCCACCAGTACATTGCAGACAATAAGAACGGATTCATTGACCCAGATCTATACATTAGCTACTCCTGCCAGACTAGTCGCCGGGAATATGGGATTCGGCAGGACTCTCTTGACGCGTATGCTTGAGAACAGGGAGCAGATGACTGGTGCCACTCGAAGGTTGCAAAGGAGCTGAAGTAATTCGAAGAGTCAGAAGAGCCTCCAGAAGCACGTTATACCGAGACGTAGCTCCCATAGTAATGACAACAGCGATGGTAAAGTTGATTGAAGTGTTCGTGGAAGGTGCACGTGGAGGATGTCGGCTGCCGTTCCCAAAGTGGCGTAGTGCGCGAAGTTTGACGCGTCTCTTCACAACATCAGAGCTTCAAACCTCACCGCATCCTCCTCGTCCACTCCATCTATCGCGAATCTCTATCTCGTTCGTGTCTCTCACCCACAAATATTTTGCGAATCCAATTCACACCTGCCGTATATGCTAGAGTTTGTGTATATCATTACTGTCGCGTCTCTCTATTGTCTTGCTATTGTCTAAATGCCCGTGATAATACGCGCTGCCTCACCAAGGAAGTCACTCTGAGAGGTCGTCGCATGCACTATCATCATTTATTCACCTCATGCATCGTCTCATTCCTTTATGTCTTCATCAAATCATTGCGAAATGAGTGGTCTGCTTTCTCAATTCCCTATCAGGATTCGCACATCCCTTAGCCTCGTCGTATGCAAATTTCCGCGTCCGATTCCTTTCCGTCAAACCTCACCTGACCCATACATGGCACCTGTCGCCTATGGTGTCTGCTCGGCTGCCACTGAGGCAATCTTCATTTGACGAGGTTTGAGGAGAGCCCCACGACTGTTTTCCAAGAGCACGGGAGCGACGCCTTGGTCGCGCGTCACATGGCGACGAACGATAGAGAAACATCGCATACCTTGCAGGACAGAGTTGTTCAAGCCAGGTTGTGCGCCTCCCGCTTCACACCAGGCAGCCGCGCTGATACCGCTATTGTGGGTCGTTTGCAGTGAGTGAGAGCGGAGTCGCGCCCGCTTACCACGCACATTTCTCCATACAGCGATATTGAATTTGCATCTGGATATAGAAATCTGTACTTATCTTGGGTATATAATCGCTATCGTTTGAGAGTAATACAATTATTCCGTAAAGCCTGCCTCGTGTCGCAGTTTGGTACACACCATTAGTTAAGTGTCCCCCCCAAAATGAAAAACCTCGCTGACTATCCACGTTCGAGCCCAGGTCCAACCACTCAGCCCTTAGTTTGCAACACCGAGTTGCATTCTTTGGGCTGAGTGGTGACCTGGGAGCTGAAATACGTGTTTCTCTCTCAAGTCAGGACCTGGGCATTAAACCCCACCTTACCTCAATACTCTTCGGAGTTCTCAAATACAATACATACACCTCAGACATAAAGATCTGGAGGAAAAGAGCACCGGTGTATCTTCTTTTTTGCCCTTTCTTTTTGCCCAGCTAAGCGAAGTGAAGGCAGCGCAAATAGGCAGCTACCGTGTTCCTGTCACTATGTTACCCACGCTCTCACCTGCCGACTACCCGCTCACTCACCTTCCTACTATCTCTCTACCCTGGTGTTCCCGCTAGCCTGTATCTTTTGGAGATACATATCCTCTGCTACACCTTTCCACCCAAACACACCCTGCTAGCTTCCTACAATATCTAGTTCTGAAGATGTCTAACCCTGCAGCCCTTGTTAGACGCGTCGGCGAGCCTTCTGAGTACCAGCTTCTGCGTGAGGTACTTCGCCGCAAACTCATCAAGGTTTCACCAGCTCTCTATCCTAATATCACGCTCGACCAAATCCTCGCTGCGAATGGCGCCAACAACATGTACCCCTACCAAGAGTAAGCATTATCACATTCCCCAGAAGAAGGTCGTAGAGTGCGCTGACGATTCCTGCTAGTCATCCGCTCGCCATGCAAGTCAACATGGGCGCCACCCTAGCAGGCGTCCTTTTCCGTCGCGGGGAAGTGAAGTACAACATCAAGAACCGCGTTCCGATGGGCCAATGGAGCTTTGAAACCGCCTTGGCCTACTTCTGCAGCAACAGCAACGACAACATCAGCTTCTCAAGCTACTTTCGACAGACACGCGCTCGCCTTTACCTCGCCGCGTACGCCAAATACGAGAACAAGGCCACGAACGTCCAGAAGATCTACATGCTCGCCTGCGCTGAAGAGAACGGAAACAAGCGCATCCAAGACCGCGGCTTCAAGCCCACCCACTATCGCGAGCGCTTCATTCACGAGCTGCTACAGAACCCCCAAGACTTCGATATCTGCACGCAGAACCGCAACAAGGGTATCCTAAAGGATATGCGCCAGCTAGTCGAGTCCTGGAAGCTGGTTGAGAGCAACTTCGATCCAGACAACGTCCGCCACCAGAAGCTGGCTCAGATTGGACCGGCTCTCGTGGAGTTCTTCGAAGCTGAACACATAGTCAAGGATGACAAACCGGATAGTATTCCTGGCGTCAGCCCTACCAGTGTCATCGAGCTCGATGTCACCAAGTACCAACCCTTCACCGCCGACTATCGCATCTTGACGGGACTCTTGAAGGCTATGCAGGGTTTCCGTACCTACGAGACTGTCGACATCCTGGTTGTGGACGACATCGCTGATGGTCTTGATGGCTTGAAGGTTTCCAATGACATCGGAATGGATGTCACACCGGTTGAGGGCCCAGCTCGACCTGTCTTGCATGTCCTTACTATGCCGGAGGTCGATCTTTCCCGCTTGGGTGACGTTGTCACACTGAACTTCGATTGAGCAGCATTTTGGTTCTCTACAACACTGTTTGGAAAAGGAACAGACTATTGGAGATAGAATTGGCGTCGATACATATTCGGCGACAGCAGGTCTGGATATTTAGGTTGTCGGTAGATCTTCACGGTACTGGGTGGGCAAATTTCGTCCGCTGATTAGCTTGCTAAGAGTCAATTTCAGCCGCCATAGTCACGAACGAAGCACATATGCTGGAAGAGTTGCGTATGAATCTTGTCTAATTCGATCATTTTCATTTTCATCTCACGTTCATTCTATCGCGCTGCCCATCCAATATTGAGGCGCGTGGTCGCATTTTACAACCGCGTAGCCCGGGTTCTGCGCTTTCCAGATGGACTTTGTCCAATTTTATCCCGTAATTCCGTCCAATGTTTGCTCCATCACGACATTTCCTCTCCTAAGGTCTTAGTCAGTCGCATAAAGTGCGCTCTCCGCGTTCTCTTCACTGCGATCGACACTGTCCGCTTACACCCCGCTACCAACATGGACGACAAGACCGAAGATATCGAGAAGATGGCGGAGAACTTGACGCCTGAAGATATGACGGCGCTTGCAGAGCTTCTCCGCCGCAAGACCGACAGAGTACCTAACGGCCTCCGTGCCCAGCAGACGCTACCGCTTGAAGCCATTCTATCTCCTTCCCCGCAGCAACAGTACTTTCCCTATGAAGTGTAAGTCTTGTTTCTTATTCCCAAGTCCAGTCCACAACATGCTCATACTAACGACTGCATAGCGCTGATGTCGCAGAAGGCGCGACATTCTCCGGTCAGCTCAAGCACCGCGGCGCCATCGCGCGGGCGATGCAATCGTTCACCCCCATGTCGGAATGGCCCGTTCAAACCATACTCGCCTACTTCACTTCCAATGTCAATCGTCATATGTGCTTCTCCCGCTACCTCAAGCAAACGCGCGTTCGACTATTGGTCAATCTGGTGTCATTGCTCAACAAGACTGACACACCCATGATGGCGGTATGTCTTCTCGAGACCTTAGCCTCTTCGGTTATATCGCAACCGCAGATATCACTTCACTAACGCCGTTCTACAGGCCTACACACTAGCCTGCATGGAATACGTCCAGCATCCCAGTCTCGGCGCCCAGTTCGACCCCGCGAATCCCACAAAGCACCAGTTCGCCTTCGTTCACATGCTGAAAGACAACCCCGACGATTTTATCGTACTCAGCGGTGACTCACGCAACGAATATGTCCGAGCGAAGCTGACTACATACCTCGCCGAAGCACGCAATGCGTGTCCAGATTGGACCCAAGTACCTCCCCCGACACGCGCCTTGTTCGACTTCTGCTTTAAAGGTGGTCAAGATCAGATGAATGAGATGGCGCAGAAGGTGTTGACTAAGAAGAGGAAGAGAGGAAAGAAGAAGACTACGCCGTCGGTACCGCAGGGCGATGTGCCGTTTGTGTGTAAACGTGTACTGTCACCACTGTTCGAATATGACGATAGTAGGATTAAAAAAGTGTGCGTTGGAAATGCCTTGCTGGAGGGACTGATCGAGGGGATGCCTTGTGTGAGGGTATTGGGTGAGGAGGATGGTGCTAAGGATGAATACAAAGAAGATGTTGAGGGTGGCGAGGAACTAAAGGTCTCTGGGGTTGAGGAGGCAGGTGAGGGGTTCGAACAGGGTCTTGAATATATGGTAAAGGACGGAGGTGGTGCTAAGGCTGTGGGAAGTGTGGACTTGACATCGTGGTATGACTGGAAAAACGTGTAGGAATAGGTATGCCTGGCACTCCTTAAGACACTTTGGATGTGTGGCGGAACTGTTGGGTAGAAGCTTTTCCATCTACATAGGTTTATGAGCCTATTGCCTACTCTCAATACCTTCCACGAGTACCTCCCGGCTTTATCAAAAGGTAGATGTCATCAACGCATCACTTCTATGTTGTCATCATCGTTACCTTTTGACTTGGCACTGGAAGGATTCTGCTATAAGTCCTCACGCGGCCAAGAGCACTGCAAGATAAGTGCTCCGATTTAGATTTTAGTCGTCAACATGCCTGGCTCCGGCAGCATCGGCTCACAAGCGCCGCTAATCCACACCGTCGATTTGAGCGCTTTCAATGTCTTGAGCTTGGACGAGCCCGATTAATCGTATGAGGATGACATCGAAGAAATGTTCGCGGATGGCGGTGAAGATGAAGTGGATGTCGATGACGGCTTCTGCATTCTTGACAGCGTTGACCTGGAATTATGGGTGAAGAGGGCTGGCACTGGTGTGTAGACATCTGAGTATGCTTTGCTTACTTCAGCTTACTTTGAGTGCTTTGGTGGCTCATTTTGAGGGTGTTTGTCGCCTACATAGGTTTTTGAGGACGTGTATCTTGCTCTATACACTTGGTGAATAGCTCCTGGGTTAACTACATGGTAGACGAAATGACTCAATACACAAGGATGCCTAGCGTCCTTCAAGACACAATCATCTTCCAAGATCGCTGTTCATCATAGCTCTTGCAGTCCACAGACTTCTCTGAAAACTGCATGCACCCTCCGTATCCTCAGCGAATACCTCCTAGATCAACTCAACACTTCACCATGCAGTTACCAGCACGATTGTAGTCCTCAACCCACTACGTGCAAAATCATCGTATTCCACATATCCATCCCCCATCCGATCAGCCAGCCTGATACACAGGGTTCTCGGTCTTATAATACATAGTCTTGACTGGCTGCTGTTGAGACGCATACCTTTCTTTGGCCTTTGCGCTCTCCTCTCTGCTCTTCATCTTCCTATCCACCATCTGTAGAGTTCGGAGTTGTTGGTCGGACAGGCCGGTCAGACCTTTTGCAGTACGCGGGGTGGTAGTGAGGCTGCGGTGGGGATCGCTGCTGTTGTGATATGAGGATAGATGACCGGGCTGTGAATGCGTGGCAGGAGGTTGTTGAGAGGGTGAAGATTTGGCGGCAGTAATGGCGGGTTTTGCATTTCGGTGTCTTGGGCCGCGGCGCCGCGAAAGTGCGAAACTGGGGTTGGCAGCTCTTGATGTCGTCTCGTCTGCGCTATTGCTACGCCGGGGGTTAATGGCCAATGCAGATGGTAGATGCATCTCTGCGGTCATCTTGCAATTCCAATCCTCGCTACCTCCCTCCTTCACCTCCGCATCCCAGAAATCTGTCAACTCAGCCATCTCAATCATACAGTGCCCTTTGTTCCGCATATGCGTCTGCACAGCATCTACACTTCCTTTTTCTTGTCCACAGTAGAGACACTCGTGGTATTCGTAAACCAGAACGGCCAGATACGAGAGAAGAGACTCTAAAGAGTAGAGTCGCGAAGGCGCGGGTACGAAAAGGCTGTGCTGGGTTGACATGTGGTCTAGATTTGTGATCGGAGTGGGAGAGGAAGAGGGGCAGAAGAGACATCTTGTCGAGGACGAAGTATTGGAATATTCCTCTTGTGTATCTGCTCTCGGTGGTTTGGAGTTAATATCGCTTCCGCTGGCGGTGTGTGAGACTACTCGTGGTCTCCGTATCAGAGCATTGTCGTTCTTTCTCGGTTGTTGCGTGTCATCCTCGCTCTTACCTTCTAGCATCCCAAAGTCTTGCTCGGATAAAGCTGGAAGTTCAGAAATGCGCCTTTTGAGATTGTGGATACTGTCACAGAACGTCAGTCCGACCACTTCCGTGTCTAGATGCTCGGGATGATCTTACTGCCAGGGTTGATGCATGTGTGCACGCTGTAGCGCACTGCTTGTGAAAGAAAGAGAACATGCGTTGCAAGGAAACGCTGTCCGCGCTTCCGATGTCATCTCTGAGGTTGTCTGTGTAGTTGTTTGTTGCGAAGGGGGTGTGGAGAAGAGATAGGTGGCTCTCGGCTGAGAAAGAAGGATAGTACGTCTCGTATGAAGGCGCGAATGCGATCGGCTTTGCTCTGGCCAATTGATGCATCCAGGCATTCGAATCTTATATAGGCAAATTAGTCGACTTACTGGCCCAGGGAGTATTGGCGACCACCAAGTCACGTGCCAAGCTATCCTCGGCGCAGCCACCTCAAGCCTCAATGAGTCATTTCCACTCACTCGCACGCATACTCACTCAGCAACATCCTGTTTTCCTGTTAGCTGACCAAACATCACTGTGAGCAAAGTAGATCCTGAAAGTACGTTTTCAAATCCAATTTTTAATTGTCAATCATGATACCCATGCTCCCGCCAACTTTGCTTCTTCTTGTTACTCTTCCGTTCCTCCTTGAGCTTCTTCGTCAGCCCCAGCCCGTCAAGTTTGGAGAGTACCTTCTCCACCAGCTTAGTGACACTACTCCTTCTCTTTACTTGTTTAGCCGGTAGAGCGGTGATCCCTTGATCTTCAACGTGCGGCTCGCCTTCTTGACTATACTCATACTCATCAACGTCAAAGTGGTCGGATATGGGTGAAAATAATTGCTCAGCACTGCGGTGCGCGTAGAATGACTGGCCATCGGTCTCGTATCGGATCTTGGTGTCGTTGTCATAGCCTTTGACGTAGCCTGGGCGAGACGCACCGCTGATTTGTGAGACGCGAGAGGGAAAGTAGGTTGCAACCCCATTTACCATATTGATACACTTGTGTTGTTCGTAGATTGGTGTTTTTGACGATGAGGGGGCTGGGGTCGTAGGGACTTTCTTAGATGTCCGGACATGCAGGTCGAGGCGGCGGCGGGGTGAAGGCTGGTCATCGGAAATGACAGAGTCGTGGCGCGAAGAATTATGAGAAGAAAGTGATTCCGACGACGTGCGATCACTTTCCTCTGATGTCCGAATGTGAGAGTGAAGACGTGTTTGTCTGTCGGTGGGTAGCGATGGCAGTGGCTTCTGCTCATGTGCCATCATAATTGGATCCATGTTCGGGACACCGCGTCGGATAGACAAAGGCAGAGGCTGTGCTGATGACCTATTCAGTGCCGCGAGGTCCTGCTCCTCCTGTGACTTCCTTCGGTAGTGAACGATCGGTTTCATATTACCATCCCAATCGACGATCATAGTGCCCTGACTAGCCGGCCGGTTGTCCTGAGCAGGTGCGATAAGGGATTGCCATGTTGCCGCATGGTCATCGATCATTTGCGTTAATTCCGTTGCAGCTCCATAACGAGAGCGAACTCTGGCATGGTGCGTGGGTCGGTATTGGGAGCCTTCGCTGTGATTGCGAATGTGACGGGAAATGTTGCGTGGTTGAGGTGACTGCTGAAGAGTGCAGCCTGTGTCATGGCGGTCGGCGCCATGAGCAAAACCGTAGAACGACATAGCGTTGAGCGGCCGTGATTGTTGTGTTGAGTTGGTGGAAGGTGTCTACTTTAGTCTTTGTTTCGATATGTTCGAAACTGAGTCTTTGACGTTGTTAAAGTAGTAGAGCAGTGTAGTTACTGTGAGTTGTTGTTCCTGTGTGTGGTACGTTAGAATCGTATGGATGTTTATGGGAGGCAAGTTGTATAGACTGAGGGAGGCGCCATGGTATGTGCACAGTGCGATACGAACATCGCGTATAGTGAATTCATGTGCTCGATAGTGACGGGCTGTGGACGAGTGATGCTACCACATCGATGATCGTTCGTCCATTGTGAAAGTCAATAATTGATGATGAATGGACGGGCGGTCGAGGTTTTGAGATGAGATTAGTGTGAAGCGAATCTAACGCATCGTCATTAGCAAATTAAATACAATCCCGCTGGCATGCCAATACCCCACGTTTCGACGTTGGTGGCCAACTTATTTCGAGCAACCCAGGTATACTATGAGTGCAATCTCTTCCGTCTACCCACGTTCTCTTACGTCTCGAGATGCATATGAACAGAAATGACGCAACAGATTGCTATGGAACATGTCAGACACAGGAAGGAAAATGGTATAGACCAAAAGCACAAACTCCGTGGCGAACGATGAAGGGGAAGAGTGAGAAAGCACAGCGCATGAACCCCGGGTATTACCAAGCTCCGAAGACCCTCATGATGGATGAAGATGGCCTGAGAGTACCGAGAAAAGACAGATGAAACATCTAGTTCTTGTCCTTGCTGGATAGCTTGTCCTTGATCTTGCCGAAGAAAGAGCGGCGCTTCTTCTTCTTATCGTCAGCACCGGAAGCGATGCTCTGGCTGCCTGGAGTGCCCTTGGGAGAGACGTCTGAGTCTTTCCTGAGGTTCTTGGCGGGGCTCTCTGGGGCCAGCTGTGCGGCTGGGGCAGAGCTAGTGGCCTCGGTCTTGGTTGTCTCTACGCCGGTGGTGACAGTCGGCTGGGTCTGCTCGGTGGTAGTTGGCTCCTGCTTGTTGAATGCGACTTCGGTAGTAGAGTCGATGGGCTTGGAGGTTGGCGGCTGAGCAGGCTCCGATGCGGGCGCGTTGAGTGCGTTGGGCTCGCTGGAGGACTTGAGTGGCTTAGTGTCGACAAGGGCCTCATCGGAGAGACCGGCAGCATTTTGGCTTCCTACAACAGCAGCACTAGGAGCTGGCTCGCCGGTAGCCTCAGTTGACTTCACTTCTTGAAGAAGTTCAGTCTCCATAGCCCGCTTCTCGCTGACAGCCTCAGCATTGGTAGCGGCCTCGGGACTGACGTGTGCCTCCTTCTGGCTCTCGGCGACGACATCCGGAACATCACGAGCAACGGACTCGTTGACTGATTCCCTGGTAGTGCCGGCTACGACAGCAGCAGTTGCACTGGCAACAGCGGTCGCAGCAACCGCAGCTCCCGCGGCAGTCGCAGCAGCAGGTGTGGTCTCAGCAGGTGCGGTCTCGGTGGTTGCAGCAGTCAGTACCGGAGCAGGCTCACCAGATTCTTCAGATCTTGGGAGCTTGTCCAGTAGCTCAGACTCGACAGCCGACTTCTCTGCTACGGCCTCGCTGTTGGCAGCGGCTTCGGGGCTAGCGTGTGCCTCATGTTGGCTGTCAGCGACAACCTCGGGTACGTCGCTGGAGACGGTCTCAGAAGTAGCAGCAGGAGCAGTAGTGGCTGTGGCAGCGGAAACGGCGGGGGCTGGCTCGCCGGCCTCGTTGGTCTTGGGGACCTCGCGCAACAGCTCAGACTCCATGGCAGTCTTCTCTGCGACAACCTCGGGGCTGGATGCTGCTTCAGGACTTGCGTGTGCCTCCTTTTGGCTCTCAGAGACGACGGCTGGGATGGCAATGGCGGGAGCCGGAAGACCAGTCTCGTTGGTCTTGGGTACCTCGCTAAGAAGTTCCTGTTCCATGGCGGACTTCTCAGCAACAGCCTCAGGGCTGGCTGCGGCCTCGGGCTCCGCATGTGCTGTGTTCTGGCTCTCGGCAACAACGGACGGAACCTCATCGGCAGTGGAGGTGCTGGGCTCGTTCATGCCAGTAGCCTCAGCAGCCTTCTCCTTGGCAGAGTAGACAGCCGCAGTGAAGAGACCCGCACCAGCAGTCGCGCCAGCGGCAGCAGTGGCGGCGGCAGCTTTAGCAGTGTCGCTCAAACCAGCGTCTCCGCTAGCTGCGGGCGCCTCAGAGACGGTCTCCTTCAGCTCTTGCTCCATCTCCTTCTTGTCCATGACAGCCTCTGGGTTGGCAGATGCCTCGGGGTCGACATGAGCCTCCTGCTGGCTTTCGGTGACAGTTTCGGGGACACCGCGAGGCTCTAGGGGAACTTGGGCGGCGAGATCGGCGGTTGTGCTGTGAGGAGCAGAGGATTGGATCGTAACGCCGGTGTCTTCCTCGACCTTGGCATCAGCGCCCATAGGGAGGCTCGATTCTGGGATCATGTTGCCCATGACTGGTGGGATACCGAACATGCCACCCTTGGCGTCGCGCTCAGCCTGGGGAGTGAAGGCGAGGGGAGGGAGAGCATCAGACTTCTCGTAGGAAGAGGGGTCTGTCTTGACTGTGCTGTCGACGGTGTTGGAGGTCAAGGTACTGGCATCGGGCACCTTCTCGCCAGGCGCAAGGTGGATGGGGTTGCCAGCGCCAGCAGTAGCGGGGATGGGCGCAATACCGAAAGCAGAAGCCTCTTGCTCGGGTTCCTTGTCATGCTTGACAGTCGAGTCTACGGTGTTGTCTGTGAGAGTGCTCGCTTCGGGAACGGGCTCGCCAGGCGCAAGCTTGATGGGGTTGCCGAGGCCAGAGGTAGCGGGAATGGGCGCGACGTTGAAGGTTTGTGGTTCGCTGCCAGGTGTCTCTGCGTACGGTGTCTCGGGGAAGGCGCCGGGTACAGGAGAGTTGGACTTGGCGTCCTTCTCACTCTCTTTGGGCACAGCGCCGGCTAGCGCAGCGGTTGTGGACTCGGGCGCGGCAGAGGACATGGTGTTGACGGGCTCCTCGTCGACGATGTCTTCGGGCAGGAGGACGTTGTTGATGATGCCGTGGCCGTCGTCTTCCTTGCGCGCGCTGTCGTTGGTACACCAGTTGCCGTTTACGACGAACTGTGGTAGAGTGTTAGCAGAGTCTGCGCAAACGGGGAAGCCGACGGTATGCGACGGGGGAGGTGCGCACCTTGTACTGGGTGTGGGTTTTGGGCAGCTCGACCGTCTTCTTGAAGATGCCATCCTCGTTCTCGAGCTTGACCGTCTTCCTCCAGTCATCGAAGGTGCCAGTCACGTAGACCTCATTGGCCGAGTGTTCCCTGTGCGCGTGTAAGCAGTTGGGCACGGAAGGTGCCTAAGCGGGCGTGAGGCAGGCGCGAACGTACCAGGTGAAAGTATATTTGCCCATATCAGCGCAGCGATGGACGTGGATCAGGGATTGCAGAGTTGGGAGGAGGGAGTAAGACCTGTCTTGGGCGCAGGGAGGAGAGGTGTGGAGGTGGTTGGTAAGTCAGGATCAGGAGCTGCGTCGGGTGGAGCGAGCTAGTTTGCGGCTTGAGTGCGCGCTCGGACGGTTTGGGGAAGATGGAGCTTGCGACTGTTTTCGCGCGACAAACAGCAGCGATTTCAATGCAGACACAAACACAGAGTCAGGAGCGCGACGGATATGCCTTGTAGATGCGGAATTGGCGAGGCTGGCGGTCTGGTCGCGACAAGGCGCTGAGTCTGCAAGATTAGAGACGGCGCCGCCAGCTGCAGGAAAGCTTGGCGGGATGCCGTTCATCGCGCGAGCCCTGGAACACGCGGGACCGACGGCGAGCATGTGCAATGACGAAACCTCCATGGCGTCGTGCTCAATTGCTGCGACTCTTCATAATTCTCAGGCCGCCGTGCACAGTCAAATTGTGCTGCGCATGCAATTCGTATCCAGCCGCTTCATCTCGCAGGTTGAGCGACACGACGGCCCCTCCAGTTTTGCGCCGCGTGCCTGTGCGCCTCCCATGGCCGGCTTTGTGCGTCATCGCCATGTCCTGGACCTGTCGGAATATCTGGGCGGATTCCGGGGTTGCACGTGAGCTGCTACCTACCTACCTAGGTACAGTAACCTATGCTGGGTACCACTCGATGATTTTGTCGTCGCCTTATCTCAAATACCGTCTGGAACGCCTCTTGATCAGAGTTTTCGTGTCTTTCCTGCACCGCGTCTCAACATGTTGATGGATTCACCGCATCGGTGCCCACGTTGAATGTGTGGCTCACCGCCAATTGCAAGGTTGCGCCTCCCATGCCGTGCTCGTCTGAGCGACTGAATCCTATTGCACAAGCTGCGAAGTAGACGGCGTTCAGTATAGAGTTGCTGTTGCAAGAGACCTGCCCGATGCTATCTACCCACGCGGTCTTGCAGTTTGTTGTGCGGTGTCTGATGGGCACCATGGATGCGCGACTTGATGACGTGAGAGTCAATGCGACACCACAACACCATCCTGAATCTCGCTAGGCGACAAGAACTCGAGGATGTGACTTCCAGACAATCAAAGCTCGGAGCCGCGCCTGTCGACACAATGTCTCAGCTTGATAGTTCACGACTCAAGTGTGGGATATGTTAGTGCAAGCTCCAGCCTGCGCAGGCCAGGCAGCGGGAGCTAAAGCACGGCTTGAGCAGCTATGACAGCTATCGCAGCTGTCTTGCCCTGGTGCTACAGGAGCTCAGTGGGTGTGGGAGTCACACCAATTGCGGCGGCGAGAGCGCACAG